GTATGAAACAGCTAGAAGTTTCTTGGTGCCAAGGTATCATAAATGAAAGCGTGTGGAACTGGCATATAACATAAGAGCTATTGTTGATAAGGACAGAATGCAGATAAAATTCTCTAATGTACTTCTGTTACACCCTCTTGGAACTAAAAATATCAAATGGAGTTATATAGAGTGAGTGGTCCTTCAGTATATGACAGATAGGGACTACATCTTGCAGTAGACAGTCACAGGGATAACATACTACATGTTCGTGTTACATATGATATGAAAATAGTTGTTAGAAGGTGTTTGTGCACTTTGAATTACTATTCTTGTGCTACATGACAGCTGCCTATGAAGACATGAAACTGATCCTCTTGAACAGATTTCACATTCCTTTTATGTAATTGGAACAGATATTTATTATTTTGTAAAATGAATTAACTCTATCATACATTTATAAATAATATGTAGACGTATGTTGGTTTTTGTCAACAACAGCAACACAGCATGTATGTTGCATGTAAAGAAGAATCATAATATTCACCTCTATTCATTATGAATTTTATTTTTGTCATTAAGTGATACATATTGTATTGTTTTTTTATTTAAGTTGTAAGAGAATTATGAGACTTATTAGTTATAAAAGAAATTCAAATTTTAATTCACTGTGTTGTGAACTTGTTTTAAGATTTTTGTTTGGCAACATGTCATCCTTACACCCTTTATCCGTACTTCTGTTCATTTCTATAGGGGTCCCTGCAATGAGAATAATGTTTACATGTTGCCGTGTTGAAAACATGCTCAGTTCTTGTTCGTAACATGTTTGAATTACCATGTCTGTTCACATATAGCTAGTGCAGATGACCAGGATTAGATGAAATCATGTAGAATCCTTACAAAATGTTAACAGGTGATTTAATTCTGGTCCAAACTGGATAAAATGAATTACCCTTTACATAATGATGAGATATGTTTAATTAGTGAACTGAAAATATTTCTTAAGAGAGGAAGGTTACCAGAAAAATAAATATTCATGGCATGACATATTTGTTATTGTAATTTAAAATTCAAAGTATATGAATGTTTCACAGGTATTTAAACTGCACAGATGACTGAGACATCTTGTGATGATGCACACTGTATAAATTGTGGAGGATGAATTTGTGTCAGTGTGGTGCATTAGTGATCAGACAGCCTTTCACTCACAGCCAAAGCAGTTCATTTCTTTGTTGACATCAATGTTCTTTCAAAGAAATTAATTCACAGTTATTTGAAAGTATAAAATTTTGTAACAGATTTTGTAATTGTGTGTCTTCAGACAGGTGCATACTGTTTGTGTGTTCCATTGTGTCAGAGAACTTTGAGAGTAAGAATTAGTGCAGTGGCAGTCATAATTTTGTACAGCTCTTAAAATTATTGGAACACTTCATAATTGCATCCTTTTCCTAAATGTACAGATATACAGTATGTTTATGAAGTTTGTAAACCAGAACTTTGTACAATTGTGCAGATCTTGAACATAATGGAAGCAGAATCAAAATCTCTGTGGTTTCGTTGCTATTGAATGAAAAGCAGTAACAAAGAAACCTCATTGGTGCTGAATAAAGTGAGAACCTTAAAATATTTTGATATGTTTGATGGATTTCATGGTGGAGAGATGCAAAGAATTGTTACAAGAAGAGAAAGCCCAAGAGGACATGTAGAAATGATTGAAGAGGAAAGGTTTCAGTGGCAGAGGGAATGAAACAAATTATGTAAGAGAAGGTATCAAGCCTCTAAATCAAAAAAGAAAATGACAAGAGAGAGGGAACATAACAGATTATACAAGTACTTTTACCCTTTAAGTATTTCTTCCATACTCCCATTACTTTCGTTTTGATTTCAAAATGTTTGTCATATTCACGTGCAGTTTTGTTTAGTTTGTCTCTTGCAGTTTGTGATTCATCTTCTGATTTTGCATATAATATTGTTTTAATAACTTTGTTATATACCAATTGAATTCCAGTCTTTTATGCCCTGGCTTTGTACAGATTGGTCATAATGGGTTTTGAAATGTGTCCTGTTCGGTATTTGATGCAGTTTTTTTATATAGAATTTGTATTACTTTTATTAGATGTGTTGGTGCATTTTATGCTGTGGTAGTATGCCATAGCTGTTCCTAATTTAGACTGTGATAAACCTTCTCATAATCTAGGAATAAATTAAACACCAAAAGATTGAATTGGAATCTTTTTTCAGTGATTTTACTTCATTCAATTCTTATGTTGCTATTCCTACTGAAACATGATGTTTTCTCAATTCTGGTTTCTTCATTTATGTTTTGTATGTGAACATCAGACCTTGATGCAGTATGATATTTTATCCACTCTTTTCGTTAGGCACTTGACTAATTGGTAACTTATCATTGACATCTGTCAGTAATTCCTTAAGTAAATCCTCTCCTTTATGGTCCTGTAAAACTCTCTTCAAGTGACTTGTCTCCATTAGGCAGTTTCTGTTAGAAGTAGGTTTGTCAAGGTATCTTTTCATATTTAAAAGTTTTGTGATTTGAGAATTAGTGACAGTATAAAATATTTTTGGATATAACACTTAGCATCATTATTTTCTTCACTGCAGAAATTTAAAATGCTGATGCAAGACATGTAACAGAATGCTAAATGTCCTATGAGTAGGGAAAAAGAGAAAAGAAAAAAACAGCATGAAAGGCATAGTAATATTTTAGAGAAACTTTCGTCACAAAAAAAAAAAGGACTTAAAATGTGATAGATTACAGGAAATCTGAAGATAAGCAGTGAAGGGAATGTGGCAGGTATGGTTTAGCAGCCATATATGAAGAAAAGTGGAAAAGAAAGGAATTTAATTGCCTCATTCAGAAATTCATATGCAACCAAAAAAATGCTGTAACTTTGGATAACAGTATTTTGTAAGCACCTGAAAGATTTGGCTACATGGGATGACTGTATTAAAGATATTGTTTCTGAAACTTGTATAAAGAAACTGAATATCTTCTAAGCAGGGAAAGATCATATGGCTGGGTTAGTGCAAGATATTGAAAGAAAATGAAACCGTTATAGTAGTATAGTTGGAGTGATTTTAACAACATGAGAAAGTGAAATTACTTCCCCCCCCCCACCCCCCCCCCATATTCTTGAAACTCCCCAGTAGTAGTGATATGTAGGCATGTTCCTTTCTGGCTTTATAGTAAGTGATACACCACCTTCTTATGAAATTTTCCCCTTACATCATGTTTTTAGCATTTTCATGGATTCTGATAGCACAGTTGGTTGAGGCACTATGCTATAAGTGGGAAGGTCGCGAGTTCAAGTCCTGATGAGGTGGATTTTTTCCAATTTACCTAATCCTTCCAGCCGCACTATTACCCTGGGTTCACCTCAGACTCTGACAGATATGAGTAGCAGGAATCTTCCTGGTGGTAAAAGGCTGACAGTCTCACCACCATCTGTGAGCCGATTGTCTCACAACCCTATGAGCCTTCTTGGCCTGTTTCAGGGATAGCTTTACCTTTAAATAACTTTTTTATGTTTGTACCAATCACCATAGTCTGCATGTACCATTATACAGAAGCAGGACATGTGGGATGAAGTAACTGAGTCACAACATTCAGAAGGCAAGAAACTTGGTTTGAATATCTGCTGGGTTATTGGCTGTTGTGATTATTTTATAATTTTTCTTAGTGTCTTTGGAGAGATGCCAGAATAGTACTTTGAATTAAGCTGTGGCCACCTACTTTCATACCCTTACATATTATACTGTCTTGTTCAGCACTGTATGACCTTTGCAGTTGAAACAGCATTTTTATCATCATCTTATAACCACTAAATATAGATCAGAAGCTAAATGTAAAGCCCTGTCTGTGCCTAAGTACTGTGTCATGAAGGCATGTTAGTGAACTGAATGTGAAGCTGTATGCATCCTTACCCTTAGCACTGGATGGAGTTGAGAGACTGTCATCATGCTGAAACAGTTTTAATGCTTGGGGAAATAGTCATGTTATCCAGTGGGCAAGAGACTGGCTGTACTCCAGTGCAAGACATTTTGATGGGGAAATGTCTTGGGGTGAAGACTGAGATAGAAAGTTGATAGCAAAATGGATTTTATGGGACTAGGTTGTACCAGTATCAGCTGGATTGAACTGTTTCTGAATAGGTTCCACTGGCAGGCTTTCATTTTAGTGGTGCTGGATTAAAAGGTTCTAACAATAGGTGTCAGTTATGCACTTTCATGTAGAAATTCTACTACTACTGGTACTACAGATTTCAAAATCCTGGAAGTTTGCAGATATATCCATTCTTCTATATATTTTTTCATATATTTTGTACTACTGCTTTAACACTCTATTTACAGTAAAAATTACCTAAACAAATGTTGCATCTTATTAGAGATCGCCAAGTCCTACATTGATTGGCCATAGTCAAATTTTTGCAGGGCCTCCATGTTGCAATGCTGTGAGTGATTTTTGCATTTTTTGTAATGGTTCAGAATAATTAAGAAACAAATAGGCATGAATGTTTGCAGGCTTGCCTGTGTACCTGAATTCCATGTCATGAAGACAAGAGATGAAGAGATAAAGCAACATGCATTCGTAATCTTTGTGCTAGATGGAAGCAGTGAAGGTTCTTGCACTAGCCACTTTTTTTTCCTGGCAAAATGTCCCCTTTATGCATGAGATATTTGAATTGGTGGACTTAAGAACTGGTCTTCATTTGGTATCAAAGGAAAGCTATCATTCCTGCTGGGAATTGAACCATGGTCATGCATCCTTTAAGCTAATCACTTCCTGAATGAGCTATATTGGTTCGATAACTGTAGTTACAATTTCACCATTCTACTTGCTCCATGATGTCAGGTGAACAGAGTTCATAGAATGAGATTTATATCGAGGACTTAGAGCTGATGTCTTTTGTACAAATAAATAATAAGTACAATGAAAGCAAACATTTAAACGAACCATCATAAAAAGGAATATTAGTTTCAAATAATTGTTTTGGTTCCAACAGTTACAATGCTTGGTCACAGTGCATGAAGATGGATCTGCAGAGGTGGACATATGAAACAAGGCAGAGGACTGGCCTTATGAGGATACGGCATCGACGTGGTAGACCACCCATTCATAAAACAGGAGAGGAGATGGAGAAGCAAAGGGAACGAAACAAACTGCGCCAAAGACAGTATCGTGCTTCTAAAACAGCTGAAGAACTGGAAAGGGAACGAGAACGTGACAGACTTCGTAAGAGAGAATATCGGGCATCTCAAACTGAAGAAGAATTGCAGAGACAGAGGGAACGTGATAGGCTCCGAAAGAGGGAATATCGGGCATCTCTATCAACAGAAGAACTGGAGCAGCAAAGGATGCATGATGTGCTCTGCAAGAGGAGGTATCGTGCTTCCAAGCGGCTAGAGATAGAGAACCTTATGCAGTACTATGGACATGTATATGAAACGTAATAGAATGCACAAAAATGACAGATGAGCTCAAAAAGCATCATGCTGGGCCTACAGAGAACCTGATGATATCACCATGACTAAATGCAATGACATTTTATGGAGTCGTCTTTGTCAATACAGAATAAAACTGCACTCTTTTGCAAACTATCTGTAGTCATCATCATGGGCTGTCAGAGTTTTATTCCATATTCATGTAACTGATCGCTCAAGAAAACCTGGCTTCTTTTATGTCATCAGTATGAGAGGAATACATTGAAGAGAGGTTTATTCATGTTCCCTTAAGAACCTTTAAATAATGTTCCTTAAGAGCAAATACCCAATAAGATTGAGTATAATGTAAATAATACTAACATAGAATAGGTACAGCACTTCAATTATTTGGGGAAGCAGTGTGTAATACAACTATATTATGAGTTTTATTGATAAAATGCATAAATGTGGAGGACTATCAATCAGATAATTAACAAATAAAATCAGGAGAGTTAAACTATTACAATCATACAAAGTTATAGCATTGCCACATTAATATGTGGTTGTGACAACTGATCTTTAAATAGGGACCATAGAAGAAGGATTGAAACAACAGAAATTGAATTTTAAGATGTGTTTATGGACATAGACTTTTTGAAATCACATAACCATACAATGCACAGTTAACTGGAAATGTTTAACCCAAAAGAAAGAATCCAGAGAGAAGGAAAAAATGTTGTTCAGATTGCACCACAAAGAATTTTAATATACAGACCAGTTAGTTTGCAGAGAAGTGGTGTATCCTAGAACAAAATGACACTATTTGGTCTCAGCTGGAATGGACCAAAGAGCCAAACTCGATGATGATTTATGATCGACAATCACTAGAATGTGGTTAGCAGTTGCAACAGATTGAGAAATTTGAAAATAATGAGAACCGTACAAAATATAGTATCTTTATTGAGGAAGTTACATGTTCAAGTGAATCAAAATAATTAACAAATATTGCCGATATTCCATCTTACATGCAACACTCCTTTAAAATTTTGTTTAAAAGTTACAACATACACGTATGCACAATGAGTCTTTTTAAACCTATTTAAAATCACATTGTACACTGCATATTTTGACTGTCATTGGTCATCATCGGGTGTTTTAAAATTGTTTTGGAGACTGCTGTGCTTGCATTTTGCACTTCTAATGTTCAGTGTGTAGTCCCAACATACATTCGTGTGATTTCAGTGATAGTTGTTAATTAATGAACAATGTGCAACAGGTTGCTACAATATCACTGAATCAAAATGTATGTTGCAAAACTTTTCACAAACCTTTGGCTTTGTCAGTATGCTTTTATATTTTAGTAAGTCAGGGCAGCAGTGGATATACGTAGGTAGGCTGAAAAGTAATGCACACATGCTTGTAGAGCGTGAACGAAATGACCTTCAGAAGCGCGCCAGGTGGCATGTGGAAGTAACATTCCCCCTCAATATGCATGCGCAAGTTTGAGGTCGTTGCGTTCATCCAGTGTATTTCGAGAAGCCGAAGTATGGAGACGTGTTCTAGTGCTATGTCAACGTGAGTTAAACAGCGTGCTGTTGTCAAATTTTTAACTGCTGAAAAAGTGACTCCTACTGAGATTCAATGTCGTTTAAAGGCTGTTTATGGTGACGATGCTGCTGATAGGTCTACTGTAAATCGATGGGTAATAAAATTTCGTGTTTGCGAGCCTGGAAAAGCCATAATTGTTGATGAAACGCAGTGGACGTCTGATCACTGCCAGACGATAATCATCGCAAACTCGTCGACGATTTGATTCAAAATGACCGGCGAATCACTCAAAAGCATATCGCAAATCATATTGGAATATCCAAGGAACATGTCGGCTTCATTATTGAACAATTGGGATACCGTAAAATCTGTGCACGATGGGTACCACGCCGTCTCACAGATGAGAACAAACAGCATTGATTGGAATGCTGCTAGCAACTTTTGCAGCGCTACCATGATGAAGGAGACGACTCTCTTTTGAATATTGTGACGGGGGGACGAGTAATGGGCCCATCGGTACGACCCGGAAGAGAAAAGACAGAGCGCTGAATATCGACATCCGTCTTCTCCTCAGGCAAAAAAGTTCAAAACACAACCATCCACCAAAAAACTTCTTTTGACTGTGGTTTTGGATGGTCACCGAGTTTATGTGACCGATTTTATGGAACGAGGGGCAACAGTAAATTCTTCTCAGTATAAAACACCTCCGGCGTCGAGTTTGTCGTGTTAGAGGCAGCCTGGCGCCAATAATCTTGCAACATGACAACGCTCGTCCACACACCTCGTGCGCAACTGAAGAGGCTCTGCGAAACCTGAAGTTTGAACCAATTCGACACCCTCCTTATTCCCCCGATCTTGCGTCTTGTGATTTTTATTTTTTTCCTCTACTCAAGAGAGACCTCAAGGGTAATCGTTACACCTCGGATGATGAGGTGAAGGCAGCTGTCAAGTCCTGGATTAGAGAAAAGTTGGAAGAATTTTTCAGTGATGGAATGAAAAAACTTGTTACACGTTGGGAGACATGTGTTAGCCTTAACAGTGACTATGTTGAAAAATAAATATATGCTTTTGAAACTTAAGAATTGTACATTAATGTACTTTTTGCCTGATCTTGCTATTTGTTTTTGTTCGTGCTCTTCAAGCATGTGTGCATTACTTTTCAGCCTACCCATGTATATTTTGGAGGGGATAGTGATGAAAATGATAATATTTGCTTCCACTGAATCACAAATGTCAATTTACCTGTGAACCATAACAGTATTATGTAATTATTTATGTGTTAATGAAAGTTTATATTTTATGTCAGTGTAGTTGTACAAATACTTCTTCAAATATGTTTACAAAAAAAAATATGTATTTGCTCTTTTCCTGGCTGGAAATAAATTTTAATAGGTTGTATTTCAAATGTTAAAGAGTCATAGCTCTCTTTTCAGTAATTCCAGCATCCTGTATAAGTGTTTCACAGATAAATGTCAGGCTGAATGCATAGTGTTATCAGTACTTGCTTTCTCTCTGACAAAAACATAGATTATGTTTGAATATTTTGACATAAGAGAGATGAACTAAAAGGTGAAATGGAGAAAACTGTACAGGGATTAATGAGAAACTTCATAGTTTGTAATTTTCATCTAATACTTCTAGTCTTATAATTACATAATGGCTGAGATGCTCAGGACATGTTGCTCCCTTGGGAGAACAAGATGAGCATACAAAAAGTTTTTGCTCAAAAAATTTTAAGGAACGGAATCACACTGGAGGCCTAGGTATTTATGAAAGAATAATATTAAAATGTATTTAGTTAAAAACGTTGTGAAGATGACGGACAGTATGAACTGGCTTAGGATATGAACCAATTTCGGTCATGGTTATGAAATTCTGGGTTTCCCAAGAATGTGTTATTGTTTGCCATGGAGTTTTCAAACGTAACTTGATATTGCTGGCCGTATCATAATTCCAATAAATTAAATTGAGAAGCAAACTTCATGGATTTCTGAACTCAACAAAAGATTTTAAACTGTATGTGTCTGTGTAATGATGGAATTCAAATCAACTAGAGAGTCACTGCTTGAAAAATATTTTTATTGAATTATTTTTTTGACCTTCTGTACACCAATAGATGCAGCTGTAAATGTATATGAATTTCAGGCATTTTAAGAAATATTATATAGTTGATGTTGATTTTCAGCTAGTGTAGACTTTGTCTGCTATTAGGTAGTGTATGTGCTCACCATTGTATCCTGTTTTTGCCCTGGAGAAGTTTGAGTGCAAGAAGTCCATTGCTTCCCTCTCCATATGTAGCAAGAGAAGTTGCTAGAAGGGGATGAAGACCAGTGATGAAAAACCACTAGCACGAATGCTGCTATGAATAAGACAGTTTGGATGTTACACCTCTCTGATTGACTTGTGCTTTATTCAGAACCCCTTTTTGACTGCATGGGTTCTGTATATCATCAAATGGTGGGATGTCTGTTAACATGAACTGGACATGATTTGGATGGAAGCAGTCCTGTTGTATTACTGTAAACTGTGATGTTCTCATTGAGCTGCTAGTGTGTAAGTAATACACGTAGCTTTTGCAGGTAGTATTTCTGCAAACTGTAACATACAATAAAATGTTAGAAATTCCATACTAAGTAAACCAGAAAACACAGATATATTCCATTCTTCTGCCTTTTTTTTTTACATGAAATAGACCCATAATGATAGGGTCATATGATCATATGTTGTGTATCAGACCTATTCAGTGTATTTAAATTAAATTTTATGCTGTGTCAAGTCTACACCATCAGTTGTAGGATGAATTCCATTTTGGTGAGTAAAGGTAAAAGGTAAGACTGTCCTGGCTTAATTAAGCACATCATCATAAAGACATGGCGTGGAGGTATTGTGCCACATACGAGTATTCATAATCTCAGAACTTGTTGGAAGTGAATGGTCAGCTTTATAATTTTCATTTCATGCATTCTGTTGTGTTATACTATACAACTTCTTTATTAAAACTGTCACAACACAACTATATCCAGGTCAGTGCCTAGTTTGGCTCTGCTACATGTTTCGACTATTAATAGCCATCATCAGGCAAATACAAGGCTAACATATATATACACACCACTGAACTACAGTACTAGTAAAATTGGATACAATAATATTAATTATATAGAAAACTTGATGTAAAAATACAATAAATTAGATTATATAAAACAAAAGTTCTACTATAAAATAAGAATAAAATTCTTCGATTGATGATTTACATCATCAAGTCAGTCGTTGGTTTTTGTAATTTTGTTGCGTTCCCATGGACAGATTGGAGTATTCTGTATTTTGTGTGTATATAAAAAAACTGTTATTGGAGACTCGTGATGTAGATGTAATATTAATGTTAATTATTTAGTCGTTTCCTTATTTTACAAAGTATTGTCCGTTCTGTAGGGAATGTAAACAACGACAACAGCTTTATGCCTCGCCTGATTTATACCATGGATAGAGCCACTGGAAATTGGGAGACAGCAGGTTCAGCCAAACAGATGGTGGACAGACACACGATGAAGCCATGTGCCTTGCTCAAGTGTAATGCATCTGACTTGTGTTCAAAGTACTTGGTTTGAGTTCCTAACAGAGCTCTCCTAACTTAGTTTTTCAGAGTCTGTCCACCTGGAGGTAAATGCCTGGGTAGTATCTTGAAATGTTTCAAGATGGTTTCCTCCCCAGTAATATCTAATTTCACTGTGCATAAGTTCACTGTAATCTCATTCAATGCTAAACCACCCTCTGCTGTTCATGTNGACTAGCTCTTTCTAAGGGGCCCAACTGAGTAGGTTAAACCTTCCCTATACACCTGAAGACGGAGACAGATCCAGTCTCCGAAACGTTGTGGTTTTTTGTCTTTTTATATACCGGACGATGGGTGAAGTCCAAAATAAGCCAAAAGAAGTACAATCATGTGCCTCCCATTTCTTCTAGAATTAAGGAAGGTTTATATAAGCTGGAAGTTCGTGTTGAAATTATTGGCAGTATAAATTCAAAACTAAATTGTTATAAATGAGTTCAAAATCTGTTATAATTTCTTCTATATTTCAAGGCAAGAATTTTCAAGAAATAACATACAAGTCTATGACAAGTACTATTGTCAGTTGTTTTGCGCGGTTTCTTTCTTTGAGAATAGACCATAAATTAAGAACTTATAGGTACATGAAAACAAATTATTCGGGAAACTGTTTGAGTCTAAGAAGGAAGCGAAATCTTTATGATTTTACATGCTGATTATGCTTTATAGGAGTCCACCTAGTATTGTTAGAATATATAAAAAAATACGAAGGCCTTGTAATGTAGTTCGAAGTAGAGCAAAAAATGTAATTAGATATTTTTTGGAGGAACCTCATGGAAAGCGGAAACTTGAGAACTAAAAAGATGCGAATGTAACACTGAACAGACCTAAGGCAATTTGGATGTGTGGATGGAAATAACCAATGATATTGTCGAGAAGAGGGCTTTGTTATAATCGTTATTAAACCTTTGAGTTCCACTACCAGAGGTTGGTTAAGTGACCATTTAACGACGGATTTACTCATCACTGCCGCTTGTAGAGAGGACCTCGCATTCCTGGTACACAGCTCGTTCCTGGTGGTGCGGGTTGCGTGCCTCAGGTTCGGAGAGCCGAGCACCACCTGGAACTGATGTCACTTCATTTCTGCGTTTCAAGATGGAACTCTTCGATCGGGGATGCCGCATTGCCGCTCCGAAAATATCAGGACGCGTTTCTACCCCTTCACGCTCACAAATGCGCCATCACAATGGATACTGTTCGGCATGGCCTTCTGTCTCTATGAAATACCTCTGTTCCAACAGAACAAAGTTTGGTACACTAAAAACAAATATCTTTCGAATAACATCAGCCAAACCATTTTTTTTTGTAATTTAACTATTTCTAACCAACTAGCTAAGTCCTTGATAGTATACTCGTAGCCGAAGGAAACCATCCACCAATACAAAAATTCCGTCATGAGATATGATCTGCGGCTACTTTTATCCACCTCCCATCTTAAACCCCGTTCCCTGTGAAAATATTAACATCCATTCTTCTCCTTTTTGCTCTTCTAAGAAGCCACTTTCCAAGAGGTTTCACCATCAGAT